TAAAATGACCTAAGTGGGGGCTGCGGAGACGACTCAGTGAGAGAAGTGCTTAAGCTTGAGAGCCTGAGTTCCCGCACCACGCGAAAGACCAGGCATGGCCATGCGCACTTTAATACCGGTGTGAGGGAGGCAGGGATGGCGGATTCCTGGAACTCACTGGCCAGCCAGCTTCGCCAAATCAATGAGTTCTGTGAGAGACCCTGTCTCCCCAGAATAATGAACAGCTCCTGAGGAATGGTACTTGAGAATGATCTCTGGCATGTACACACACACACACACACACACACACGTATACACACATGTACATACACACATTCACCTGTAGACACTTGAACATACACACTCATAAGCACACAAAAACTACAGCAAAAATAACCTATGTCAATGCATGAGGGAGTCAGACTAACCGTAGTGTCTATGAGTTGGGGAATAGAACTGTCTAATGTTGGTTGGGAGCTGAGTATACATGGTGAAGCATTTCTACACAGAATACTCTGTATACGTAAAAGGGGAGAGATGCCTTGTGTGCAGATGTAAAGGCACAGGTGAGCTAGACCTATGCAGAGGACTCTCTGAGTCAGCTGACGTGGTGACACCCATTGCAGAAGAGAGGAGAGGGCTATGTGGCAGCTGAGGTGTGGGCGCCTCTGAGTAGTCAGTGGTGATCAGCACCGGGGGGGGGGGGCTTGAGCTGAGGCCTTCTGACTCAGTGACTGTTCTCTGCTGATGGCTTTTAAAAAAGCAAGTTTTTACTCTTAAAAACCCACGCAAGGGAGCGAACATAAATTCTTGGCACCCAATGTGGGTGTACACACAGGCCATTACTTACTGCCTGGGTTCCACTGACTCAGCTGTGCCATTGCCATGCCTCTGGTAGCTTGGTCAGTGGCATCAGTGAGCTTTGGTGATTTGACTTCTGGATGCTCTCTGCCCATGACGGTCACTGTCCTGGCTCCACTCACATTGGCTCCTGGTGGCCTTGGCATTTCAAGGTCCCTCTAGGAGGTGGACAGGACAGGTGTCCTGACCCCATCGCTGGGGTTTCAGGGTCTTCCTCTGAGTCATCTGTGACACCTGCAACACTGAGTCTCCAGGCAAAATAAGCCAAGTGTGCTGAGCCCCGGTGCAGCCTCTGGCTCTACTGGACTCTGACAATGCAGCCTCTCGTACCTCCGTCTGTGTGTTGGTGAAACAGTGTGAGGCGGGGATAGAGCGGAACTGCCAGCAGACAGGGGAAGAGGGTATGAGCCTCGGGCCCTGGGCCTTGTGTGCAGCACCTGGCCATCCTAGAACTACCATCGTAGGGGTCTAGTGGACACAGAGCCTGGGTCAGGGAAGGCCACTCCTCTCTTCTCCTCAAAGGAGGTTTCAAGGATTACCCAGATGCCCCCATCCTTAGTGTGGGAGCTGAGTTCTTGAAGGGTGTTTGTCAAAAACCCCACCCATGGCATGCTCATGGTTTTCAAACGGAAAACTAAGGTTTGATTTTGTTTGTGGTTGTTTCTCTCTCTCTCTCTCTCTCTCTCTCTTCCTCTCTCTCTCTCTCTCTCTCTCATGTGTGTTCATGTTTCTCTGTGTGTGTGTGTGTGTGTGTGTTGTGTGTGTTATGTCTATACACATGTGTAACTCATGGAGACTAGAAGATGACATCATGTACTCTGCTCCTTCATGCTCCATCTTATTCTTGAAACAGGATTCCTCTCTGAGCTGGGAGCTAGGCTGGGGTGACAGTCTCATGGACATTCAATGCAGCCCTTTCATTTGGGTGCTAGGATTTGAACCTGTGTCTTCATGCTTGTGCAAGCATCACCCTAGCCCACCTAGTCATCCCTCCAGCTGAGGATATTTTTTCTTTTGGAACATGGTTTGCTAAATGTCTCAGGCTAGCCTTGAACTCAGAATCCTCCTGAGTGCTGGGATGTGGGTCTGCACCACTTTGCCTGGCTGGAACATCAACTTGTCTCGGGATCTCTGCTCCAGTCTGCTGTTTCCAGGCCTGACATCAAGGGTCTCTGGGCGTCGGAGGTTCCCGAGGTGGTCGCAGACCCCACCTACGCCTCCCTGACCCATGTGTAGAGGGGCGGGGCTGACAGCTGATGCCGTCATTCTCTCCTGCCTCCGACAGCCAGACCCATCGATTGGATGCTTTCACTGAGTCACTTTGATTTTGAACTTGACCCTTCTGGCTCCCTTTCTGATGTCCCTCAAAAGGGCATTTTTCAAAGCTGCAAGTGGGCCAGCCAGACAGTTGCTCAGCCATTAAAATCAAAGGCAGCTGAGCATCCAGGGGGCTCAGGAGAACGTGACAAATGCATCTCTTGGCTCTTGAGCCCCCTCCCAACTTGTTCTAGCAAACATTTATTTAACACCTACTGCATGCACTGTACTGAATGAGTATTTGACCTCAGCTGTTAGGTTACTAGCACAGCGTGTTCCCTGCATCAGGAATACAGAAGAGGAGAGCATGGAGGTTGAGAGGACGGGGAAGTACAGGGGAGAGGTGAGAGGGTAGGCACATTTTCTGTGCCCAACGGGCAGGTACTGTGTGCACCAAGTGTTGGTGTATATGGGGGCACTAGAAGAGACACAGATGACCCTGCCTCAGCCTGGAATAGCAGACGTGATGGACAGCAGATGTCAAAGCCCCGCCCCCGCCAGACCAGGAGGGAGGAAGGACCAGGGGTGCTGTCACATGGAAGGCAGGGGCAGCCTGGCAGAGCCAGTGAGGGGCATCAAAGGGAGGCAGGCAGGCACAAAGGCCCTGGGGTAATCAAGAACTAGGGGCAATGGGAACAGAGTGAGGAGAGGATACAGGCTTGACCCGGCCTGTGCAAGACTCAGGGCTTCATTCTCAAGAGCTGTGGGAAGTCACTCTCTTCTTGTGACTGAGTTCTAGACTGAGGAGTGACAGAATCTAATTCATGCTTCTGTGGCGGGAATTGGGGGGGAGATGATTGTGCCCCCTACCCCCGTTCTTGAGCTTTGTGCAATCATGGAGATCTCTCCTGGCGGTCTTTCTATTGTCACCCTGTGAAGGCTCCATAGCAATGTACATGGGAGAGGTGGGTGGGGTGGAGTCCAGGGGACTGTGTCCCCCCCACCTGTTCATTAAGAAAAGCACAGGGGTCCAAGGCTTATTGCAGCAAATGGCCTTGGGACCAGGGCTGACATCTAAAGACAATCATGTCCTCTCAGTGCAAAGCGTTCCCGTGCTCATCCCCATCCACGCTCACAGTGGAACTCCAGCCCTGACCGGGATCTTCAGTGTGTGCCCTTTGGCCTCTGTGAGATCAATCTGTGTTGCTTCTTGTCGTTCGCCTGAGCCTGAGGCTGTCAGGGCCACCCTGTGGGACTCTTGGCCCTCTGTGTTAATGAACATCAGAGTCACTTCCAGTTGGGAGCTGTTGTGAGCGGTGCTTTGATGGTGCATTCCTCTCCATCTTGATCACATTCGTGAATTATCTGGAGAGCTGGGTGAACCACAGAGCCTGGCTCTGGGGCCTGGCAGGGCCGAAGTCATCATTCCTCAAGAATTCTTGGTGGTTTCCCAGCTGCTGGCCCACAGCCATGCTGTATGCCCGAGGAGGCTCCGTGTGGGTCGACAGATTTCCCTGGGATTTGTGTGCCACAGGGGACTGTGGTAGCCTAGGGAGATGCACGAGGCTCTGACAGGCACTGCGATTTCCCAGGCACCAACTGGAACCCCTCCCGCGGTGTCTGAGGTTTGGGTTTTTCCGTGAACTTGCCAACACTTGCTACTGTCTGCTTTTTCCTTGACTTCGTCTTGTTATTCTGACTGACCTGGCTACTTGCTATGTCACCCAGGCTGGCCTCAAACTCACAACAGTCCCCCTGCATCGCTTCCCAGTTGTGCATCACCACCCCGATTTGACAATGACGTGATTGGTGGTTGTGTTGTTTTGCATCTTGAGGTAGGCGTCTTACCTGCTGTTTCCTGCTATGTCACACCACCCTCTCCATCCTTCTATTGATTTGTCTTTCTTTGAATCTTTAGGAGTTTTTGACTCTGGACACAGTCCTTTATCAAGTTAGGTGCATGCCCCTTCTACCTTGCCTGGCCTTTGTGCTCAAATGTCACCTCATAGGTTTGTTTCCTTTTTGCTATTGTTGTTGTGGGTTTTTTGTTTTTGTTTTTTGTTTTGGTTTTGGATTTTTGGAGACAGAGTATCTCTGTATAGCTTTGGAACCTGTCCTAGAGCTCGCTCTGTATACCAGACTGGTCTCAAGCTCACAGAGATCTGCCTGCCTCTGTCCCCCGAGTGCTGGGATTAAAGGCATGCGCCACCACTGTCCAGCTTTGTTTGATTTATTTTTTATTGCATTCGTTCGTTTGTTTGTGTCTCTGTATGTGTAGGTCAGAGGACAACTTGGAGTTAGACCCTTCTACCATGCGGGTCCAGAGGATTGAACATAGGTCATCAGGTTTGGCAGCAAACTCCTTTACCTGATGAGCTGTCCTTGTAGTCCTGGTTTTAATTTGACAGTTATTTCCAGGGGCGTGAATATGAGTAGTGACCTGAGAAGGTGGGGATGGTGTTGGGGGAGTAGCCCTTGCGCGTTTTTGTTTGCTTGATTTTGTTTCTTCGAGACAGGGTTTCTCTGTGTAACAGCCCTGCCTGTCTTGGAACTTGCTTTGTAGACCGGGCTGACCTTAAAACTCACAGAGATCTGCCTACCTCTGCCTCCTGAGTGCTGGGATTAAAGGTGTGCACCAACCACGCCTGGCTAATTTTGCTTTTTTGAGACAGGGTCTTACTCTGTAGCTCAGACTGGCTTAAAACTCACAAAATAGTCAACTTCTGATCCTCCTGCCTCCATCTCCCAAGCGCTTGGGATTACCGGCATTCACCACCACACCTGCTCCAGCTGTGGTGATGGCATCAGTGATGGGACAAATGCTTTGCTGTCTTGATTTTGAGCGAGGTAGCCATCAAACATCTCCATGCACAAAGCTCCTTGGGGTTCTCTTTCACTTTTAGGTGCCCAGAAAGCTTTGAGGGCAGTTTGCACCGTGGCCAGTGAAGAATGGCTGCATGTGTGCCAAGTAAGTGAAACCTGGATCTTTAAGGGGTTGGCAGTTTGGGGCCAGCGCCCTAGTGGCCAGGAGGGAATGCTGTCTGGCGTCCACTCATGAAGAATGGGATTGAGGTTGTCTGGGGATCACTTGAACCAGGCTACCCACTCATCCTATCAACTATGGCACTTCCACACATCCCGAGGCTGGCACAGGCACCCCAGGCTCAGCCATCGTGGACTGAGCAGCCCCAAGGTGTTTTGTATAGCAGAACAATTTAAAATAATTAGAAACTTTCCAGAATGTCTTTAAACACACTGGTGTGGGCCTTAAGAGCAGCTCCTATTAGCAGGGACGGCTGCCGACTGGGGAGGAGAGGCACTGATATAAGCCCCTTGATTAACTCATTTGAATATCTTTTGAGAACAAATTCTGAATCTCTTTCTATTTTCTCCTATTGTACTGGCTGCACATCTGCTGGCTGGGGGTGGGGGATGGTAGTGAGTTCCATCCCAACCACTCCCAGCCTGGGATGGGGCAGGGCTCCTGCAAATGGCCACAGTCATCCCTGCCTCGCCGCCTAGCATCTGCCTTTCAAAGAAGTGTCAGGGTCTGAGCGAGGCTTGTAGGGAGCAGTGTGCTGTCCCTGCAGGTCCCTCAGAATAACGGGAACAAGTCCAGGATAGAGTAGACAGCTTGGGATCTCTGGTCCCATCCGACAGCACGGACACACCATCCCACGGATACACCATCCCACGGACACCTCTTTAGTGTTTTCCTTATGGCTAAAGCAAGACCCTACAGCCAACCCCAGTGTGTTGGCTGGGTGAACCTCAGTATGCCTTCCCATACATATCTCTAAGGAGAGGATAATGACAGGGCCCCTTCCTGGGGTTCTTGTAGTGTAGGTCGTGCACACAACAGACACATCACTATGCACCTAATTAACAGACTACGCTGCAACTGTCATGCCAGGTGCAAAGCCCCAGTGAGTCTGTTTGGTACAAACTGCATGGTTGTGAGTTTTGTCCTGAACTAGTTGCCAATCATTAAAATTGGGAGGTTTTTATATAAAAAGTAAGAATTTGGAACTTGGAGTGGAGGTAGCTGCCCACTCCTGACCTGTGGGATATCACTAGACCAGAGCTGAGCTCCCACAGCAGGAGGACAATGTCCCCACTTACTGTGGGCCCCTATCTTTTGTGATGGTATCATCAACTGGACTCTTGTTCTCTGAGCTCTGGAGGTCTGCAGGAGACAGGTGGACCCTCCCTAGATGCCCCCGGTGACCGTCATGTAGAAGTGTGCTTGAAGCACGTTTGGTAGAGCCCTAGCATGCGTGCAGCCCTGGCTTCCGTTCCCAGCCGCATGTGAGCTAGATATGATGATGCAAGTCTGCCACCCCAACACTTGGGAGATAGGGGAGGAGTCTGAACAATTCAAGGACATCCTGGGCTACTTAGCAAGTTCAAGACCTTGCCTCAAAAACCAAAAATGTGTGTGTGGATGAGTGTGGGTTCCGAATCTCCCTGCGTTAAGTCTTCTCTGGTGAAAACACTTGGTATATGCAGGGCCTTGGCCTAAAGGTATTGGGAAAACCCAGGCTTGGTTGTATCCTCTTGAGCCCCACACCAACCACCGCCCCCACCACCCAGCAACCATCAAAAGCCAGTTCTGTCCCCTTGGGTCCCTCTCCTGCCTCTCCGTTCTGATACTCCAGTGCCATCCATGTGCACCCCAAGGAACCCCGGGACCTTGGCAGCCACGGATTCCAGCCTTGCTTCCTTTACATGAGGCTTTTTTATATATTTAGTTTGAAGCTGTTAAAAAATAATTTTGAGAAAGAAGACTGGAGAGATGGTTCAGCAGTTAAGAGCTCTGGTTGATCTTCCAGAGGTCCTGGGCTCAATTCTCAACACCTACGTGGTTGCTCACAACCATCTGTAATATCTGATGCCCTGGTGTACAGGTGTACATGCAGACAGAGTGCTCACACCTAAAAGATACATAAAGAAACACATTTCTTTAAACAGGAAGAAAGGAAGAGAAGGTCAGACTGAAGAGTTGGCTGGTCCCTTAAAAGTCTTTCTGAACAAGCCCCAAGAATCAAGCCAAGAGCCATGTGTGGTGGCACACCACACCGCGGGTGGCGGTGGGGGTGGGGGTAGGGATGGGCTGGTGCTCTCTGAGCACCTAGCCTGCTGGTGAGCTCCAGGTTCAGGGTGAGACCCTGTCTTCAAACAAAACAAGGTGTATGGATTCCTGAGGGAGGACATCCACGGCTGGCCTCTGCCCTCTGCCCTATGTATACCACACACACACATACATATACACACAACACACACTCACACATGCGTGCATGCATACAGCACACACATTCACAGCACACACACCACATGCACACATACACACACCACCTAAAGCTGCCTTTAAAATCTTTGCCTCCCCCTCCCCTGCCTGTTCCCTTGCTCAAAAACGGCTTTGCCTATTTGGGCTATTTTTAGAAAGATGCCTGGCATGTTGGCTGACAGAATCTGTATCCTAAGTTTCCACCTGATGGGATGGGGTGGGGTGAGGGTGGGGGCACAAAACACTGCTTTAGACTGGGAACCACCTGGAAATGACTGCTCAGGTCCCCAAACACCTCCAGAAGAGACAAGAGGTGAAGGACAGGGATGGGCTTCCTTCTCAGAACTGCCTCTAGCATCACCGAATGTGCACCCAAAGCCGAGGCAGGAGTGCCACCCGAACCCCATTAGTCCAGAAGCACCTCCTTGGAGTCCTCACTGTCACCTCTGTGACACAAGAATGCTAGTGACAGAGACCTAAGAGTGTGACTGTAATGTCTGTGATCATCACAGTAGCACGGCATGGGCCTGGACAAGGAGAGATGTAGGAAGAACTCTTGTACAAACTTTTAAGAACCTGAGTTGATTGCGGAATGAAGCTGGCCCTCCCTTCTGGTTTCTTGTGGGCTGTTTTGAACAGCTTTATTGAGGTGTAACTTAGGTGAAACTAGCCTACTATCTGCAGGCAGCCTGATGTATCTTTGTAGCACAATTAATAAAAACCCAGAGACAGATATTGGGGTTCAACCTGAAGGTCAGAAAAACAAAACATCCAGCCACTGGTTCTTACCTAATGGCAATCCTGCCTCCAAGAATCTCAGAATGAGACTGTGTGAGAGCTGTCTCCTCCAGTCTTATATTCCTCTCTGGTGCTGGGATTAAAGGCGTGCACCACTACCACCCGGTTTCTGTGGTAAACTAGTGTGGCTACTGAGGGTAAAGGTGTGTGTCACCACTGCCCGGTCTGTAAGGCTGACCAGGGCAGCTGTTTTACTTTCTGAACTTCAGGCAAGCTTGCTTTATTAAAATACAAATGGGTGGGGCTGGAGAGATGGCTCATAGGTAAAGAGCACTGGCTGCTCTTCCAGAGGTCCTGAGTTCAATTCCCAGCAACGACATGGTGGCTCACAACCCTCTATAATAAGATCTGGTATCCTTTTCTGTACTATAGGATACATGCATGAAGAACCCTGTATACATAATAAATAAAAAAAATCTTTAAAAATACAAATGAGTGTCTATGGAGTTGCAAGGCCTTTATGGTATGTGTCTAGAACATTACCATCACCCAAAAGGCCTTTTCTAGCCAGCCCGGCCCAGTCCAACCACAGACTTTTTTTCTGCCATGAAGGATTTGCCTTTCCCAGCCATAGAACAGGGAGGGGCTCCAGCCTCATTCCATCCCTGAGCACCATGCTACCAAGCTTTACCCTGTGGTTGCAGAGCAACATCTCAGTCTGCAGAGAGACCACGCCATCCAACATCTATGTGTTTGTCTGCACAGAGGTTGGAAGGGTGAGTTGGATTCCATGAAGCTGGACTTACAGGCTGTTGTGAATGACCATCTGGGTGCTGGGAACCGAACTCTGCTCCTTTTCAAGAGGAGCAAGTGCTCTTAACCACTGAGCTGTCTCTCTAGCCTGGGGCTCAGGTTTCCAAGACCCACCTCGCCGGGGAACTCTGCTTCCTGTGGCCCACTGAAGGAAGGACGAGGAACGAGAGTCGGAAGGAAGAGACAGCAGAGAGGGCTGTGCTCAGAGACTCACACTTGGGGTACCTGCTGTTTTCTAAGCCCTAGCAGTTATGGTCTGTGTTTGGGGACACAGCAGCTTCCCTCTTGTCCTGCCATTGTCTCCTCCCCAGGTCTGGCTAAGAGGTGCTGACTTCACAGCTGAGCAAACTCCCAGGCCCAAACCACGAGGATGGACCAGCGTGCCCACTCAGGCCTGTTTGGAGTCCCCTGGTTTCATCCCTTCATCCAGAACCTTCCCTCTCTCTTCTCTTCCTTCTCACGTTAAAACTCCGGAGTTCTTTAAGCTCTCCATAAGGTCAGAGCCATGAACAGACCCCAATGAGCCCTGGAGAGGAATCTGACTTAGCCTGAGACCGTGGCAAGTGGGTGGATCTTAAGCTGGAGAGAACCAATCAAGGCCTGAGCAGCTAATTCTGTCTGCCACACAAGGGTGGGCGCCAAGAGAGGAGGCAGCGGCCTGGAAATAGCCTTCGCTGGGGGGTAGCAGCTTGGACCAAGGCGAGAGGGTGGTGGTAGTTTCTGGCATCTTGGGAGTAGTTAAGAATGTCTGGGTTCCTCTGTGTTACTAGTATCCTCATGCAGAGCTGAGGAAACGGAGACTCAGGAGCAGTGATTGGACTGAGAGCAACTGGCTTTAAGGCAGGTGGAATTTGAACCCAGGTCTGCCATCTCATGGTCCTGCCTTGTTCTATAGGTCAACCTCTGGAACCTAACACCCAGACTCCATCTCTCCAGTTAAAGTGACATCTACCCAGAATTCTCCCCATTTCACAGACCAGGAAACTGAGCTTAGGCAGCTGGAGGAGCTGGAGACAGGATTCAACTCCATTCACACTCCTAAGCCTCTGCCTGAAACTGCACTGGATCATGAATCCGCCCTGTCTCCCTGAACTAGCCAGGCTGGGTGGAGACCTGGTCCCCACCCACCC